TCTTGCGCGCTAGACTTTTCGGCATGCACGTCGGAATCACCAACCTGGTAACTCCTGGTGATGGAAATGGACTGAGTACGTCGCTGACTCTGATCGCCTGACCGGTTGGATGGGGTACGCTCACTGTGGTCTCCCACTCCAGCTGCACCTTTCCCTTTGACATGCCGCTTAAGATCCTCCATCTCCGCCGCCATCCGCCTGATGACAGCGTCTTGGTCCCTTAACTTGTTTTCCAGTCGCCTGGCGTGCGAGTCTCTCCTCCGCCGGTGACCGTCTGGACTCCGTGAATGACCATGACTCCTTTCGCGCTTATCCCGCGCGTCTCCTGACTGTCCTCCAGTGGGCGTCCCCAAGTCAGCCATTGGATGAACGGCAGGAGGTCCCTCTCTTCTTCGAGTATACTCCGGGGTGGCTCCGTCGATGGCGGACAACGGAAACTCGTCGTTGTTCGCCATGGACGGCGATCAGATGAACCTGGAAGACAAGGTTTTGTCTGTCATGCTTCCTACAGACGGCGCCAATTGTACGGGGAGCAAATATTCAAGCGTGCCCGTATTCCTTTCTTCCGAGTTCCGTCGATATCCGATCACCTGCGAGCAAATAACGGTGAGCTACCCGGCGGTGTGTGGCCGGAAAAACCCTCCGACGGTCAAGTTAGCACACACCTTAGAGGGAATAGAGAGAAGGGAGAGAGTGTTTGAGTGTAAGAATTTCTTACAGAGGTGTTCGTGTGTTGCGTATGGGGGGCGCAGACATGCTTATATACCTTCTGAGCCCCATATCCACTCCCAGTCATCTCCTGACACGTGGCTCTGCTATCCCATCTGTCAGCATAAACCATGCCATTCACTACCTAACCTCAACTGCCTGACTTCACAACTGGAGCTCGGCAGCCGAGCTGCTCTACCTCGGCCATGTTACGCTTCATACTCATGCGCCTAGCCGAACAAACACGTGGAGGACCGGGCTAGGCGGCATCTCGACAAAGCCTAGCCCGGGCTCCTCCTTTGGTTGGCCTTCCTGCCGGTCAATCAACTACCTCGGCTGACCGCGCCTTTCCGGGCGCCGGTCTCTCAGCCTGTCTGGCTTCGACCATCCTAGGACCGAGCACCCTGGTCTGACCGGTCACTTCCTGGCCGAGCAGTTTCTGTACGGTCCGGGGTGGCACACACTCAGTCCAAACTCTGCCCGGCCCAAGTTCTGGTAGCCCATTTCCGGGCGGATAGTTGATCAGCTCGGCCCCATACACCGTTGGGCCCTCGACCTGCTCGGCCGTCACCTCGGCCCAACTCCAGATCATAAATTGCCCTCTCAGTTTTCAATATAAATCATTTGTCTATTTTTTTTAAGTAAAATTAATAAAAAATGGTATTTTAATCATTATAGTCAATATAGATTTATGCCAAATGTCTAAAATATTATTTTTTACTGAGTTTATTGACTAAAATATATTTTTCTATCAGTTTTATTTAGTGAAAATTGACAAATGATTTAAATTGAATACAAATAAAAAATTTATGGTTCAAATTGACAAAATTAAAAATTCAAGATGTACTTTATTACAAACTCAAATCTTGGGGTTCTTTTTGTAATTTTCTTTAAAAAAATTAATTATTACTAACATTCCTTTCATTGTTAGGAAATTTTATTTTACTCTATGAACTATACTACCTTTTCAATTATGAAAATTGTACAAATACACTCATTTTAAAGGTAGTCTAAAAGAAGTCTCTAGAGATGAAAGTGATACATTTTTATAATTGAGTAGATCAAAATGTACGTTTTCATAAATGAAATGATAAAGTAATATTTACCAATAGTTGATAGGGTCTTGATATAAATAAACCTAAAAATTATCAAATTCACATGGCACTTTAGCTTTATAATTTCATCATATCGTTTATTTAAAAAAATATTAATTGGTGATAAATCCAATCTAAGGAGTGTATAAGGCATTAGGTCCTGCGGATATTTTTTATTGGTAAAAGGTCCACCCTTTGTGAAATAATTTAGTGAGAAGTCTTTTTGTTTGTTTTGAATCCCTTAATTTATATGTTGACCTTTTTTTTTTTTGTTTGTTGACTATTGCTGACAATCTGTTCAAAATTTTTCCTTATCTGTTCAAAATTTTTGACTAAAACCAAACCAAACCGAGCCTTAAGTCCCATCAAATGAGGTTGGCTACATAAATCCTTCTTTTTCACTCGACTCTATCAACGGCCATCTGGTTAGTCAAATTAAGAAGATTCATATCTCTATTTACTACATTAGCCCACGTCAATTAGGTATGCTCCTTCCCCTAACACTTCTATTTGCCGTCATTGTATCATATCTCTTCACTACTGCCTATGTTGGTCTCCATTGTATATAACTAAACCATCTCAATCTATTATCTCTCAACTTATCAGTGCTATTCCTACCCATTCACAAATATATTCATTCCTAAATCTATTTTTTCTAGTTTTGTCATACATCTACCTTAGCATCCTCATCTCAGCAACAATCATCTTATTTACATATTGTTTCTTAGTTGCCCAACATTCTGTCCTATACAACATCACTGGTCTGATAGCCGTTCTATAGAACTTTCTTTTTAGTCTAATGGGTACTCAATTATCACAGAGTACTCCAGACGTATTCCTCCACTTAAGACACCCTGTCTTAATTTTATAGACCACATCCGCTCAAATCTTACCAACCGTTGTAATAATCGATCCTAAATAACGAAAATGTTCACTCTTAAGTAGTTCTTAATTCTCAATCTTCGCTTCTCATCTGCTTCCATTGTTACTATTATTAAAATTATTCTCCATGTACTCTATCTTAGTTCTACTTATCCTAAATCTTTTAGATTCAAATGCTTCTCTCCAAGTCTCCAAATTAGTGTTATCTCCTTCTTTAGTCTCATCCATTAACACAATATTATTTGCAAAAAGCATACACTATGACACATCATTCTAAATATTTCTCATCAACTTATCCATAACTAAAGTAAAAATATAAAGATTTAAGGTTGACTCTTGATGTAACTCCACAGTAATCAGAAATTCACTTGTCTTTCCAATAGGCGATCTAATAGTGGTCATCACACCTTCATACATATCCCTAATCACATCAATGTAACCTTTTGTCACCTCTTTCTTCTCTAAAAAAGACATTCTTCTCTAACACCAACCAGATTATAGTGATAAAAAAGACATTCTTCTCTAACACCTACCAGATTATATCCCGAAGCACTCTATCATATGCTTTCTCAAGATCGATAAAAACCATATGAATGTCTTTTTTCTTTTCTCTATATTTTTGTATTACTCTTCTCAAAAGATAGATCGCTTCCATTGTTGACCTACCAGGCATAAATCCAAATTGATTCTTTGACACCTCTGTTATATCTCACAATTGACGTTCCACCACTCACTCCCACACTTTCATTATATGACACATCAGCTTGATTCTTCTATAGTTGTTGCAATTCTGGACATCTCATTTATTCTTATAAATTGACACTAAAATACTCTTCCTAGTCCAAACTCATGACAAAAAAAAAAATAAACAAAAACACTTAAACAAAATGAAAAGATAGGGAAAAAAAAGAAAGAAGAAGAAGTGCAGTTTTAATCTAAGAACTAAGAAACACAGCAAACTATGAATCTAGCAATCCACAAAAGTTTCAATTCACTGATGACTACAACAAGAAGTATAAAGTCTCCTAAGTATTTTTCTTAACAAATAAAAGATATGCTCCCATACCCCTTTCAGTTTCTAGAAGAGCAATCTCAAAATAAGATAAGAAAGAAATAATGGTGAATGGTTAAAATTGAATCGTTTATGGGGCCGGGTGTAGCCAAGTGGTTTAAGGCAGTGGATTGTGAATCCACAATGCACAGATTCAGTTCCTATTGTTAGGTCAAGAAAATGCAAAGAACCATAAATAATATAGAAGATATTGAGGCTCAACAAAGGAAATAGAAGTCGAAATTGGAAATCACCCATTCCATACCAAGCTAGTGAAACTAGAACAAAGATGCATGTGATAGTGTATATAACAAAGTGACGCAGCCAATTGATGTGCAGCATTTACAGCAGAAGCCAATAGAGCATCAGCAGCTGTTCATGAAGTGTGAGTATCAGCTGAAGCAACAGCCGCTGGATATAGTCCAGCTGATGTAACTTGTCAAGTAGCTAGACTTTTGAGTTTGTTACCAAGTTAGTCACATTCCAACTGTACAACTTGTATCTCTCACTCTTATATATAACCTCCTTGTAATAGACATTTGTGAATGAAATGAATAGACTCTGAATTTCTTCAGCATCCATTAATTTCCATATGACTAGAATTCCTAACAAACATTTCTCCCTCATGAAACCATAAAAATGTCACAACCACCAAAATACGTGTTACAATATTAAACAAAATTCACAAGAGGAAAAGAATAATACAGCAATCTAAATGCGTCAAAGACAAAGTGTCACCTTTGTAACCATGAACAGTAGCCCCAGCAACGAAACCACCAACAGCTCCATTGATAAAGTCCCTCTTCATCCTATAATGCTGCAACAGCTGCTCTACACCTATGTAAACACCGCCAATCGCAGCAAAAGTCATCCCATAGTTACCCATCATTTTGAGGGTTCTCATCAACCCTGGAAGTGCAACACTTCTTTCAACACGAGGCACATCGTGCCAAGTAGCAACTATGGTACCCCAAATAGTACCGGCAGCTAAACCAGTGGTTGCACCCTTGATTGTTTTCATCATTGGGGTATCATCATCTTCCAAATACCTAAGTTCTGAAGGATCCATAGATCTCCTTTGACTAGGTAATGATCAATGTTGCAAATAGATTGAAACATCAGTATGAGGGCAATACTTGAGCAATCAAAGTGAAGTGATTTTGCTAAGATGATCTGTACCGGATTCCAGACAAAATAAACAACTGGGTATAATATAACACAGGTAACATTCAAAAACATGATCACTTTAGTTTCTACCCTGATCTTAGTAGATTTTGCATTAAGGTACATTTTTTCTTTTCGTTTTTTTCTTTTAACACTGTTTTTGGTTAGAGAATTTGGAAAAAGATTTCGAAAAGGAAAGAGAAAATGTGTGTGAAAGTAGTTGAAATATATGCATATTTTATTCACATTTCACCTACATTTTCCTTTTCTCTTTTCAAATCTCTTCACAAATCCCCCCACCAAACAAAACGTGTAAAGGGTTCTGTTCTGGTGAACAAAACAATTGCCATTTCTCAGCCAAAACTAACAAAACTTGTCTCGTATCAAATTAGAACAAGAGATATGTAGAGACCGCATGTTCTGAAAATGAACATAAAAATAAAACATGAAAGAGCAAATGTGATACATTCGGTAAATTCCCAAGGGAAAGACGTTTTTCCAACACAAATTTCGATACCAGAGTGAAGAAAAGAAAATCAAAACATTTGTTTTTCGTTATTTGTGTCGTGCATACAAATAAATCTCTAACAAAATGTAACTTTTGTTTACGCTATGCACTAGTGATTCTCAAAATAAATATCT